CTAGTAAAGCGACCAAAACGCTGGCTTGCATCCATAGATGCTTCTCAAGCAAATCCCGGGACGTCATTCTCCCCCTGTACTCGTCCTTAGTGAGGCCACAGCTGGAGTACTGCGTCCAGTTTTGGGCTACACAATTCAAAAAGGATGTGGAGAAGCTTGAGAGAGTCCAGAGAAGAGCCACGCGCATGATCAGAGGTCAGGGAAGCAGACCCTACGATGACAGGCTGAGAGCCCTGGGGCTCTTTAGCCTGAAAAAGCGCAGGCTCAGGGGTGATCTGATGGCCACCTACAAGTTTATCAGGGGTGACCACCAGCATCTGGGGGAACGTTTGTTCACCAGAGCGCCCCAAAGGATGACGAGGTCGAATGGTCACAAACTACTTCAAGATCGTTTCAGGCTGGACATAAGGAAGAACTTCTTTACTGTCCGAGCCCCCAAGGTCTGGAACAGCCTGCCACCGGAGGTGGTTCAAGCGCCTTCATTGAACACCTTCAAGATGAAACTGGATGCTTATCTTGCTGGGATCCTATGACCCCAGCTGACTTCCTGCCCTTTGGGCAGGGGGCTGGACTCGATGATCTTCCGAGGTCCCTTCCAGCCCTGATGTCTATGAAGTCTATGAAATCTATGAAGGAAATACACAGCTGTTTCCTGGCTTTCTTTTTTTTTCTTCCAGAGATTCAAATTCATCCACTTCCTAATTGTGGAAAGGCATGAGGCAGAGCTAGGTAAACCTACTGACAAACCCTACATTTCATGAATAGAAGTAAACTGGGAGAAGAGGCAGAAGAAGGTACTAAGTTGTTCTCTAATCACTAAGCCAAACAGAGATGAAGTCACAGGTGGGGTTTCTTTTTTAAAGATCTCATCCCTGATGACTTTCTGAACAACAGCCCCATTCTGAGTACCTGTTGCCTTAAAATGCACAGCACACACGACGAAGGCTTGCTGAGCATCCAGAATGGCATTATGCTCTTTCCTAAAGCTAGGATGAGGAGCACTAAGAATGGGAGGGTCAAGATGCAGGACCTGATTGAGAAGCTGAAAAATCACCACTTCATAAAGTGGTGGAGGAAGGGAGGTGAGAACTGTGAATGGTAGTGGGGAGAGGAACGTGAAACACGTTTCCCCCAGAGAAGGAGGGTCGGCAAAGAGGTGATGCACATCCACACCCTCAAGGACCATAAATCACACCTGGTCCCTTCCCTGATCACAAGGTTGGGGTGCAGGAGAGCAGAAGACATCAGCTAAATAAAAGTCTGAGCAAAATCTTCGAGATTGGCCTTTCCAGATATATAGGTGGCTGCTGTCATTTGGCAAATGCAGATCTCCTACCATTTGACATGCTGTTACCTCCAGGCCAGACAGCGAGCAAGGCAGAATCCAGTTTGCTCTTAAACGAAGTAGGTGAATGACTGACTGACTGAATGAATACATATAAATATACAGTACGTATTTATAAATATACATACATGTGCAATGTATCTGCTGTGTTTACCCAAGTCTAAGG